TTGAATGACCCTTTCACAGGAGTCGCCCGATTCATAACAGTAGCAAAATGACAGCTATGAAGTAGCAATGAAAATAATTTTACGGTTGGGGGCTCACCACAACGAGGAACTATGTTAAAGGGCCACGGCATGAGGAAGGTTGAGACCCTCTGGTCTATAGCATCTACTTATACCTGGTTTCACATGGTGCTCAGGCTCATTTTTAACCCCTTTTTGCGATGTACATGTTTCTTCACTGTTTGGGGGAGGGGGGATTTTTAAAAGCCTATGCTTCCAAAGAAGGTAATAGGGGGAAGAATGGCTTGCAAATTTAGAGCCAGCAATCCCAGTTTAACCTCATGGTCACAGACCTTGGGGAACCAAAAGAGAAGCAAAAGTGGTGTGTCTAAGATCACACAGCTGCCAACAGCCCAAAGGTGTGGCAGAGCCAGTGTTCTTGCTGCCACACTGAGAACAGTGGTAAAACCAGAGGCTCAATTCTACTTCTCCAGCTCTGGGTGCACTTACAGATTTGCCTCTGGGGACATTTCTAAGGTGACATGCAAATAGGCTAGCGACTCTGTCCATGCAGTCTGTTCACGTTGGTTTTAATGGCCTTGGCTTTGGTGCTCCACGGTGAGCTCAGGCTAGTCTGGCATGGTGCTTGGTTGCAGGCCTGGCTGGCAGAGGTAGAAGGCAGGCTCCCAGCACGCAGCGAACAAGCCCGCCGACAGAGCGGACTGTATGATGCCCAGCACCCGCCACCAGTCAACAACTGTGCCCAAGACCGCGAGAGGTACAGTATCTGTAGGGCCCCGGGGTGTCTTGTCAGCCTGCCACTGGCCAAGGAGCAGTGGGGCTTGGTATCACAAACCCTGGCATCTAGAAATAAGCATAAGGCAGTGGGGTGGCAGCAGCCAGCGGCTGTGGTGCACAGATCAGAGTCTAGCAGGAAACAATCATCTGGGCATGGCGGAGAGTTCCTTGTTCTTGCTGTTCATTGGCATCAGCCCTGCCTGGTCCACAGTCATTCTGTTTGAGCCCATTGATGCAGCCACCGTGTCCGTCCATCGCATGAAGGCCTTCCTCCTGCTCGCTGCCCCTCCACTTTAGCAAGCACAGAGTCCTTGTCCACAGACTGGCCTCTCCTGACAATATGCCCAGAGTATCCGAGGCTTTCTGAGGGTCTGAACCACAAGCCTGGGGGGTGGGAGCGCCCTGCGGCTGCGTGGGCAGGGTTGGCCCCGCTGAAGGCCCCGCTATAGTTGCTGTGTGCTTTCCTTTCTTGAGCAGCCCCGATGGCAGTTACACAGAGGAGCAGAGTCAGGAGAGTGAGCTGAAGGTGCTGGCCACGGACTTTGACGACGAATTCGATGACGAGGAGCCCCTTCCAGCCATCGGGACTTGTAAAGCTCTCTACACATTTGAAGGTGACACATCAGCTGGGTCTTGCAGCCCTCCTCCCTTCCTTTGATCCCGAACGAACGTCTCTGGTCTGGTCATGGTCGTGTTAGTCTCGGGCCTGCGGCTGCATGGGCACATTACCAATCGTCAGTGAGCTCAGCTGCACTGGAGTGGATGAAAGGGTTGTACCCGTGTGTGCAGTGCTTGTGGGGCTCCTTGTAAAGGGCCCCAGCAAGCGGGGACATACACACACGCACACCCTCACCCTCACAGAAAGAAAACAGAGAGATGCGCATGGAAGGAAAGGGGAGCCTGCGGTGTCTACCAGAGAGGGACACAGAGAGCAGATCAGCTACAGGAGACCTCCTTCAAATGGTTCGGAGAACACTTAGTGTGGCCAAACCCTGGGAATGAGGATGGCACAGTTCCCTGGGCAGCTTAGGCTTGATATCAGGTGGCGACAGTGGAAGAAAGTCTAGGGCGGGCAAGGTTTCAGTGGGGGCGGCCTGGGTATTTGGCCAACCACTGTGAGGAGGGGAGGGGCTCTCAGGCGCATGTCAGCAGGTGCTTTGACAGATGTGGTCATAACCTAAGGGCCATAAGAAAGCAGTCGCTATGGTTACCAGGATGAAGGGAGTGTTTTCCAAATGGCTACCCCATGAAGCTGCTGTCTGTAGGTTGCTACAGGTACACAAACAAGTCCCAAACATTCGGAGTTCAGATACATTTGAGAAGCCAGGAGATAAATGCCTAGAGCAAATTTCTCTGCTCCAGGACATTCCAGAGCCCTCAAGAGACAGTACCCGTTTCAGTCCACATCCCAGCCTCCTCTGCCTCTTCCCCCAGCCCCCAACACTCCCTGCTCACCGCGCCCTAAACAACTTGTCTTTCAGAATAGTAGTTGGGTGATGATGGCTAGTTATCTGAAATTATCTTAGCAAAGAGCCTTGGTGGCTTCTTAACGCAGGGATGAGCCCAAGAGAGGCAGCAGCTAACCCACTGGCAGTCGGGTCTTATGAGGGAGCCCCTCAGAGCTGATGGCCAGGCTGAGTCCCTGGGAGATGGAGCTGTCCACTGGGCTCCAAGGAGGCTGTGAGGAGGGAGGGGGGGAGTCCCGTTCCAGCCACGTTGGGTGTATTTCAAGGGTAGGGTATCAGCGAGTGCCGCAGGCCCTAGGAGAACCACAGGAATTATGGGAAAGAGATGCAGGGTGGGTGTTTTTTAAAAGTTTCACTTAAGGCATGGGAGTGAGAGAGCAGACAGTGAAAGAGGAGGGCCAAAGATTTCCCCGCTGTGTCAGGGAAGGAGGGGAAGAGGGCTCGGTGGAGATGTTTCCTAGTAGGACGGGAAAGTTGGGGCCCGGTGGGTACGGGTACAGTGGTGCTGTCTGCATGAGCAGAGTCAGGGGGGTGAGTGGCTCTGCCTGCCCCACACGGGAAAACCAAACAACCTGCTTGTTGTGGTGGCTGTGTCTCTTCAGGTCAGAACGAAGGGACCATTTCGGTGGCAGAAGGGGAGACGCTGTACGTGATCGAGGAGGATAAAGGCGACGGCTGGACCCGCATCCGGAGAAACGAAGATGAAGAGGGCTATGTGCCCACCTCGTACGTCGAAGTCTATTTGGACAAAAATGCCAAAGGTGCTAAGACTTATATTTAATACCACTTAAAAAACTAAATTAAAAACAACAACAACAAAAAGAGTCACTTCTCCTCAGCACCGTGCCTGCTGCAGGCAGCTCCCCAGCAGACCCTCGGCCGGCATCAGCACCATGTTCCCGCACAGCCGCGCCATGAGGGGCCTGGGCTAATTCTGACTGTCACCAGGCCTCACTCGCTGAGAGGAAGCTTTTAGATGACAAGCTGCCCACGGCCAGTGTACAGCTGTGTCGAATGAAACGCGCTGACACGATCTCCTCTGGGGCGGCAGCTGTTCCATTGTAGCCTCTAAGCACTTCTGGGTGTTCAGGTCCACAGGCACTCAGCATGGGGGGGTTGGGGGCGGGTGTAGAGCATGCTGCTCTGACCTCTGCGCGGTGCCCACCAGCAACGAAACCACCTCAGAGTGTTAGCCATTTGTAACTGAGTGAGCCTCCCATCCTCCCTCCATGGCCAAGCATGACGTCTGCTTTGGAGGCAGTTGTAACCAAGACACGTGATACAGGAGCAAACTCATGGCCATGGGCTCGGACCTACGTGTGGCAATCCTGTGGGTGTCCAGTGGAACAGTGCTGTCCCATGTGGGTATCAAAGGCTGGTGTTTTAGCAGTACTTCTCCAGGCCTTTTTAGGAGGCACCCCACGCAGACTCCAGTCTCCCGCCCTTGAGGTTAGCAGCTAAGCGCATACACTGGGCACTGAGGAAAGAAGTGAGGCACCTGAAAATGTCTTATCTAAGCATGGCCTAAAGACCCTTGTCATTCCCACGCTCCTGTTCTGTCCTTATGAAAATGTGTGTCTGAGTCCTAAACACCGGCCAGGACCCTGCATGTTAAGATCCGAATGATCCCAAACCACCAAGTGAAATCGGAAGGGAAGAGAGAAACGGGCGGCCAAGCCAACCAATTGATTTTCAGATGACACTGTGTGCTCATCTCCTTCCACTGCAGGGATGCTACCGAGCTGAGCCTCAGTTAAAGCTGTGCCTGTCCACACCCCACCCGTCGTTCCCCCTCTGGCCATTTTCTCGCATTTGGCTTCATGAGTACGTCCCCAGCCAAAACCCAGCTCCCTGCATGGAGTCGCTCCCAACTCACAGCGACCCGAGAGGACAGGGTAGACCTGCCCCCGCGGGGTTCCCAGATGGTCACTCTTTACAGGAGAAGAAGGCCTCGCACACACGTGCGTGTGCGTGTGTGCGCGTGCGTGCGTGCGTGCGTGCGTGCGTGCGTGCGTGCGTGTGTGTGTGTGTGTGGTGTTTCCCAACCGCTGACCTTGCATTTAGAAGCCCAATGTGTAGCCACGATGCCACCAGGCTCCTCCACACCTCTTCCTTAGATAGTCTATACATAGAACCAAGTTGGGGGATAATGGGATACCCACACAGACATCAACCTCAACACGTCACCTTCAAACTTGGGTGTGTGGGGGGTGGGGAGGCCGTGAGTCATTGGCATCTTAAGGCCTCTGAGCTTGAATTCACTAGGAATTGTTTCAAGCTGCAAATGGAACTGCTTGTTCAGGGAGATGGTATGATTGAGCTTTAGCCAGAATGACATGAATGGCCTCATCCCCCTTAAAGAAATCTGGGGGTTTTACATTCACAGGGAATGTATGTTCTTCCAAGGCAGCTGGAGAGTGTCCCTTGTCCATCGGGGGTAGCCTGGGATGCAGGGGGATTCATGGGGCCAGAAGTGCAGCTCTGCGTGAACATAGAGGGCCGGCCACCCACGGGCCAGGACCACAGCGCTGGGCTGCACAGCCTTTTTACTCCGCTTTGAAAGTGGCTTGTTCATGTCCTGTCCACGTTTAAACGGGGAAACTGCCCTCGTGCGTCTACGTTATTGGCTCGTTTTCTATGTGCAAGGCCCTTGAGAGCCGATGCTTTAAAACACAGCAGCACCGCAGGGCGGCAGCAGAGCAGGTGCTGACTGCACTGAAGGTCTCACAGTCATCTTGGTTCACAAAGCCCACCAAAATCAAGTTTAGGGCCTGGACTCAATGCTAGCCTGTCTTAAATCCCCACTTTCCTTCCCCCCTTACCACCCCCCACCAACAAGAGCCTTTACATTTTGCAATAATGATGGGGTCTCAGTAAGTCACAAAGACCTTCAGCGACATCTCATATAGGCTTCCCCAGCTTTTCCAGTGGTTTCGTGTTCCATCTTCCACAGCAGAGGACACGATCAAAACAGGAAATGGACGCTGGTTAGTTGCCTGAATTGAAAAAAGAAAAAGACAACAACAAGCTAGCTATCCTGCTATCAAAATAGAGAACTGTTTTAAATTGTTTATCTGGTTTTGAATGGCACCTCTGCTGGTGTGAGAAAAATATTCGATCCAGAACGCCCCAGGGCAGTTGTTTCTTATTTTTCCCAGTATGGAAGCCCGGACACGTGCGGGCCGTGGACATGTTTTAGGCGCTGGAGGAGGCACTATAGCAGTGTTCAGTGCGTGGCTGCTAACTGCAAGCCCCACCTTTGGAACCTGCCACTGGAGACAAGGCTGCCAGAAAGGGGCTGCCCTGGGAAGGAAGGAAACTTCGGGACAGCTCTGCTCCACCCCAGGAGCCTCCCTAGGAGTTGGAGTCCAGGGGCGGGACAGCCGTGGGTTTGTGGGTGGTTTTGTTTGGGTTTTCAGGAGGTTACTGGCTTGAGGCACATAGCCGAGGGCCTGAGAAGCCGATAGCATTCAAGTCCAGTTCCTCTAGCCGCCCAGGAACTCATTTCCACGGAGAGACAGCAGACCA